CCCTGATATTCCCTGTTCTCAGGCCCCTCCCAGCTCTGACATCCCCTGTTCTAAGTCCCTCCCAGCTCTAACATTCCCTCTTCTCAGTTCTGACATTCCAGATTCTGAGGTCTCTTCCAGCTTTGCCATATGAGAAAGCCACGGCTCTGACAAAGGAGGGGTTTCAAAGCAGGGGCCATGGGAGGGTTGCCGTGATGGAGGCTGCAGATTTGCAAACAACTCTTTGGTGGTGGGCGGTGCCCTCTCTCAGGGCTGGGGGCCCGGGGATGAAGATACCCGAGGGTCAGTGCTATAAGCCATGGCTCCTACCTGGCATCAGGTCGATAGAGTTGGGCTCAGGATAAGGAAAGACTTCAGAGTAATTAGAAGAGGCAGAATGTTCTGGTAGGAGGTGAGCTTCCCATCACTGCAGGTGTTTGAGGAGAAGCTTGATGAGCGGCTGTCAGGGCTCTTGTTAAAGGAAGAGCTGCTCCCTTCCCACCCTATCGTTCTACCTTTTCAAATGAAATAATATATTCCACGGAAAGCTCTTTGGGAACTTTAAACTGTTATATAAGTCTTAGTTGTCTTTATTATAATCCTTTTCAGTCTCTGCTTGCCTGCTCCTGGCTTCACGTTTGACCTTGGGACCTTAGAGGCCGTCTGGGGAAACTGAGGCCCAGGGAGGTGAAGTGACTTACTCAAGGTCACACAGGCATCAAGTGGCTAATCAGGGATTCAAACTCAAGTCTTCCGATTCCAAATCCAACATTCTTTCCACTAGACCATGTTACCGTTTTAATTCCCCCACCACCACCCCAGGCCTCTGTTTCCCCATTTGTAAAATGGGAGGGTTGAACTAAATGGTGTGTGTATCCCTTCTAGTTTCACATTCCATGAGCCTTTTCTCCAGGGTTATTTTCTTCATTTCCACCTGCTTTCTCCCTACTCTCTCCCTGGCCTTCTCTCCCTCTCATCCTTCATCCCTCTCTCTCTTCCTATTAACCTTTCTTGTGTTTCAGAAGTCTTACTTTCCCTTACTCCCCTGTCCCCATACGGCCCTCTCTGGGGTTCTGTCTCCTCTCCTAGCCTCACTCCTTCCTGCTCCCCACTCTCATTTCCCTCTTCATTAGCTAAACCCATCCTCAGACTATTCAATTTACTTAAATACTCCTCATGGGAATGGCTCAGGCACTGTATCTGCTTCTTTGTTCAGAGTCACTGGTTTGCCAGCCATTCTGACTTGATTTAAAAAAAAGATGCCGCTGGGCTCTTGACAGGGAGAGGCCCGGTGGGAGTGACCCCCAGGACCTTTCTGTGTCCACACCCCTGCCATGTCACCTCCCCCACCTCCCAGAGTTTATCGTGGACCAGCATCTTCTCAGTGACTGCTTAGCATCCATCACCAGCTTGGTGACTGACTGCCTCACCAGGTGGGAGAGAATGGAGATCTTCTGTACAGCTCCAGGCTCAGGCCCAGCTGGCCGACCCCCTTCCCCAGGGATGCCGTCATCCAAGACATAAGAAAGGATTTTGAAGCTGGAGAGACTGACTTCTGAGAAAGAGATTAGCTGAACAAAGAACACTTAGCCCAGCTAATAGTGACCATGCTGGCCACTGACAGGGGCTTGAGGCCCGGAGATGGGCCATGTGCCTTGGAGCTACAGTAGCCTGGTATCGTAGGTGGTGTGTTGAAGTTAGAGCTTGGGAGACTCAGTTTCCAGTGCTACCTCAGAAACTCACTAGTTGCATGACCCTGGGCAAGTCTGCCTCTGTAAGACGGAGATCACTTTGGAGCTTGCTGGGCCTCCAACACAAGCATTTTCAAATGCCTCTGGGCCATCTCCAGGCGTCCCGATCGATATCTGGCCACTGGACCCAGATGGCTCCAGAGGAGAAAGTGAGGCTGGTGACTGCACAGCCCTCCCTCACTCAAATCCAATTCACTCCCAAGTCATGGCATCATCTTCCTGATGTCGTGGTCCTCTTTGAGAACAAAAGACAAATCACAACACCCAACCACAACCACAGCTTTCAAATGCCTCCTGATTCAAGGTGGGGGCAGGGCCGCAGTATGCACACTGGGGCCATCGGGGTCTCTGGCTCTCTGCTGATCTCCTAGAGCTCTTTCAATGACAGAAGTAGGGCCGTTGAGAAAGTCTTGCCTTCTTGGAATTCCCATACCTCAGCAGGGGGAAGTGGCCATTGGGGGAACTGCTCTTCTCACCAGTAAGACCTGGAGACTGGAGGAGAAATGATGAAATTTAGTAGAAGTGACCATGCCATCTTTGGAGTTCATGCCAAGGGAAGAGAGCCCAGAGTAGTCTGGTGTGCCTCCTCAATTTGGGAGAAGGGTGCAGACTGCAGAGAGTTCAGAAAAAGGAGAAGAAACCCCCACGACTTGAGATTCGATACAGAAAGCTGGTCCACAGAGGATGGGAGGCTCACACCAATGGAATTCTGAAGAGGCAGCAGACTCAAAAGCTTTGGACCATGAAGGAAAGATGGTATTGTCTGAAGGTTTTGATGAGGCCACGTAGAGAACTCATCAACCAGCTAGCATTTTTAAGACACTTAGAGAAGATGGGGGTAAAGGCAGATGACTGAGGATGAATACAGAGCATCGGGAATGTGTAAAAAGCCTGAAGCTCAGTTCACATGGAGGCTGGCCATGATAACTGAGTAGGGACCTAGCCCAGAGACCTAACAAGTCATTCTTGTACCAGGGCAAAGTGAACAGGCATTGGTTCACTTGGAATACAGATGGGGGAGGGGACTTTTTGGCTTTATATCCCTAGCACATAGTAGGTGTTTGTCCCTAATCCCCATTGGGATTTCCTCCATCGTGTGTGGATTTCCCTCATCCCCTCTAGCCCGATAGATTTGGAATGACCTCCCCTGACACTTCCTTCCCTAGAAGCCTGCTAGATGGGGCTTCTCTCCTACCAGTCCTTCACAAGGATATCAGAAAGGACTTTTGAAACCTATGAGGAAATCCAGAATATCAATGAAAGGGCAGGAGGGACCTCTGCTCCAAGTAACTGAGGCAATGTCTGATGGAAGGAAAGCAGAACTACTCACCCCTTATCTGACCACTCTCTTCTCCACTGAGGATGAAGAGGATGTTTGGTCTGTGGAACATAGAGCAAAAATGGCTACCAGGCAGCTGGAGCCAAGAAAAAGAAGGAGATGGTGAGAGAAGGCCTAGCTGGCCCTCGGGAGGCCCAGATCTTCAGTTTCAGACCATCTACACCCCCAGCACAAAGCTAGGAAGGATTAGAAATGAGATGCAAACCTGAGGCTTTGTCAGTGGACTTGAAGTCTGGGGCTCTTTCCATGACCTCACATCGCCCATCAACGAGGCACTTGTGGACCTGCAGCAGTCATTTTTCTCCCATTGGGTCTCAGTTTCCTCCTTTGCAAAATAACTTGCCTTGCCGTTCTGACATTTTGATCCAACGAGTCAATTAGCAAGCATTTATTAAACTCCTACTGTGTGCCAGTCACTGGGCTGGAAGCACTAGGGTCAGTTCTGTGATTTTCTCTGACAAGGCTATAATTTTTAGAGCCAGGAATGTAGCGTCAGCCACAGACTAGTCATAATAATAACAACAACATTTATTTGATGCTTTTGAGGTTTATAAACTGCTTTGTGCGGTGGGTGCCTCAGTTATTGTTAGCCTCATTTTACAGATGAGGCTCAGAGACTAAGTAATTTGTCTAAGGTTACACAATTATCACGAGTATCCGAGGTAAGATTTGAATTCAGGACACCTGACTCCAAATTTGAGGCCCTGGCCCACTACACTATGGTATTTGGATTATCCTCTCCTTCCCCTCCCCCCACCCCCAGCAGCCCAGCCATCCAGATTGTCAGGAAAGAAATGAGGGTGACATCGGGCGAATCTGTTATTTTTAAAGGTATTTTTTATAAAGCAACAGCAATTGTTTCAAGTCAGCCAAGCATCGTTCTGGGCCGATTGATATTTTTAATCTCAGTTCCCAGACAGAGAGCGGCGAACGTTCCACCCCCGTGTTTATTTCAGGATGCTCTGTCTAAGGCGCGTGCCCACCGAGGAGCGCTACCGGTGAGCAGCGAGGGG